GGTCACAACCCCCCCAAACCCAGCAGGGCCCCCCCATTCCAGCACCCAACTGGTCTGTACTGGTTTGCACCATGACTGGCACCAGTGACCCCCCCAGTGTGTGCCCCCCCAGACCCAGTGGGGGGGAGCAGGGGGACACCCCCCCGCTGTCACCACGGGGGGGTCACCGTGTCCCCTCCCAATAAACACACAACCCTGACCTCGGCTCGGGCTCATTCTGGGGGCCCCCCCCGGGGAGCAGTGACCCCCCCGGTGACACAGGACATGCAGTGGGGGGGGCTACGGGGGGGGCCGGGGGAGCGGGCGGGGGTCTCAGGGCCCGGGGGGGGTCCAGCAGCCCCCCCACCCCCCGTTTGTTGCAGGTTTTGGGGGTCTGGCTCGCCCTGCGCTTCCGGAACCAGCGCGACCCCCGCGCCAACCCCGGCGCCTTCCTATAGCGGGGGGGCCCGGGGGGGGCCCAGAGCCCCCCCAGTGCTGACCAGCTGCCCCCCGCAGCCGCATGAAGCACTGGGGACAAGGACACGCCCCCCAAAATCATGGGGTGACCCCCCCGGCAGGGCTGGGACCCGGGGAGCAGTGACCCCCCCGGTGACACAGGACATGCAGTGGGGGGGGCACTGCCCCCCTGACCCCCCCTTTATTGGCGGTGAAATGGGGAACCCCAAAAACTGCCCTCCCCAAATAAGTGGGGTCCCCCCCAAATCCAGACCTGGGGGTGTTTGGGGGGGGGTCACCCCTCAGTGCCCCCCACAAGCACCAGTGGGAGGGGCCCGGAGGGGTTTTTGGGGGGGGTCACCCCACAATTGCACCGCACAGGTGGGAGAGTCTGGGGTGGGATTTTGGAGGGGGTCACCCCTCACGCCCCCCCCCGCAGGTACCTTTGCCCTTGTCGGGATGGAGGCCACCAGTGCCAGGGACAGGGGACAGGGACACGGGGGTGGCACTGCTGTGACCCCTCCCCAGCGGGGCGCAGGGCTCGGGGGGCGATGGGGAGGTGCCATCCTGTGCCCCCCAGGTGCCCCCGAGGGCCACACTCACACAGAGCGTCCCTGTGCCCCCCGAGTGTCCCAGTGCCAGCCCGTGTGCCCCCCGAGTGTCCCCCGGAGTGTCCCAGTGCCAGCCTATGTGTACCCACCTGTGTCCCCTCCCCTGGTGCCCCCATCCCTGCTCTGCGACCCCAAAACTGTTCCAGGACCCCCATCCCCCCCTGGCACCCTGTCTCTGCCCTGGGACCCCAAAACTGCTCTGAGACCCCAAAATTGCTCTGCGACCCCAAAACTGTTCCAGGACCCCCATCCCCCCCTGGCACCCTGTCTCTGCCCTGGGACCCCAAAACTGCTCTGAGACCCCAAAATTGCTCTGCGACCCCAAAACTGTTCCAGGACCCCCATCCCCCCACCCCGGTGACCCCATCCCACCCCTGGCACCCCGTCCCAGGTGCCCCAGGGCACCCCGCTGCCACCGGCCGATGTTGGGGTGCCCGAGGTGCCCCAGCAGAGCTGCCTCCCGCAGGTGTTGGGGGCACCCCGGACCCCGCGGGGGGAGCCTGGCACCCCCCAGCTCCAGTGCCCCCCCAGCTCCGGGCATCCCAGTGTGCACCCCGCGGGAGAGACCCCCCAAGACTCCCCCAGCTCCAGCAGCGCCCCCCATCTCTGGGCATCCCAGTGCCCCCCACAGCCTCCCCCGGGGCATCCCAGTGTGCCCCAGGACCCCCCCTCACCTGCCGGCCTCCCCTCCCCCCCGCTCAGGTGTCCCGACACCCCCAGGCCCACCCCGGTTCCAGAAGGTTCCACCTGAGGTGGTCCCGGGTCCCCCCCACCGCGATTCCCGGGGGCTCCGGGACGGGTCGAGGGTGGGCACAGCCCCCACCTGGGCACCCCGAGCTCACCTGGGCACTCCCACACTCACCTCGGCACCCTGAGCTCACCTGGGCACCCCGAGCTCACCTGGGCACTCCCGCACTCACCTGGGCACCCTGAGCTCACCTGGGCACGCCGAGCTCACCTGGGCACTCCCACACTCACCTGGGCATCCCTGCCCTTACCTGGGCCCATCCCCGCCTGTTCGCAGCCCAGGGTGACTGTCCCCACCCCAGGGTCCCTCTGCCACCCCCACCTGGCGCAGGTGGCACCGGCCAGGCTGGGCTCAGCGCCCCGCCGGCTTCGGGGGTGCCCCGGTGAGCTCAGGGTGCCCAGGTGAGCTCGGCACTGCCCAGGTGAGCTCAGGGTGCCCAGGTGAGCTCGGCACTGCCCAGGTGATCTCACTGCTGCCCAGGTGAGCTCGAGGTGCCCAGGTGAGCTCAGCACTGCCCAGGTGAGCCCCGTGCCCATCTCCTGCCCCTGGGACCCCCCTCGCCCTCCCCTGCTCACCTGGGGGAGGGGTGCCCGGGCAGGGGGAGGGGCGGGCAGGGCAGGGGGGTCACCACGCTCGGCTGCCTCAGGGTCCCCACGAGGGTCCAGAGTCCCCTGCGCTGACGTCAGCGCCCCCCCCACCTGCGACATTCCCCCCCCACCGAGGGTGGCACCGACCGGGTTAAACCCCACGGGGGGGTCACCCATCCCCCCCACGGGCACCCTGAGGTGTCCGGGGGTCCCTCTGAGCCCCTCCCCCTCTCAGGGCACCCCCAGCCTTGAGGAGGGGGCAATGCCCCCCCTGCCCCCCCCCCAGCGGGGCCACGTCACCCCCGGGCACACCTGGGCAGGTCGGGGCGTGTCCCCCCCACCCCCACCCGGGGGGGTCACGGGGGGAGGGGCTGATCACGGCGTGGGGGAGGGGAGATCCCAAAATCGCTTTATTGGCCAATAAATAAACCCCAACCCCCCTGGGGGACACCGTGGGGACAAGGCCACCCCCAGGGTGTCACGGCCACCACCGAGGCTGAGGTTCCCACGGGGTTGGGGACACCCTGGGGACAGGGCCAGCACAGGGTGTCACGGCCACCACCGAGGCTGAGGTTCCCACGGGGTTGGGGACACTGTGGGGACAGGGCCACCACCAGGGCGTCACGGCCACCACCGAGGCTGAGGTTCCCACGGGGTTGGGGACACCCTGGGGACAAGGCCAGCACAGGGCGTGTGACACTGCTGGAGCCAGGAGCGCCATGGGGAGGGGGCTCCTGCCACCACGGCCAATGTCACCGAGGGGTCAGGGCCACCTCTGGGCCGGGGTCACCACAGTGCTGGAGTCACCCACAGGGTCAGGGCCACCACGAGGTCCAGGGCCCCGATGACACTGGGGACACTGCGGTGTCAAGGCCACCTCTGGGCTCAGTGCCCTTCCTGGTGGTGAAGTCACCACTGGGGTCAAGGTCTCTGCACTGTCCCCAGTGTCACCAGTGTCCCCTTGTCTCCCCAGCATCTCTGGTGTCCGTGGTGTCCCTGATGTCTCCATGTCTTCAGAGACTCTGATGTCCTCAATGTCCCTGGTGTCCCCTTGTATCTCCAGAGTCTCTGGTGTCCCCAGTGTCCTGAGTGTCCCCAGTGTCCCTGATGTTCCTGGTGTCCCCAGTGTCCTGAGTGTCCCCAGTGTCCCTGATGTTCCTGGTGTCCCCAGTGTCTCCTTGTCTCCAGAGTCTCTGCTGTCGCTGGTGTCCCTGTGTAACTCCAGCACCTCTGGTGTCCCCGGTGTCCCCATGTCTCTGGAATCTCTGGTGTCCCCGTGTCCCCGCTGTCACCGCTCCAGGAAGCGCAGGCTGATGGGGGCGCCGGGGGCCAGCAGGGTGCGGGTCATGGGGCGCACGCGGCCCCCGCCGGGCTCCGGCCGCACCTCGAAGCGCAGCAGGATCTGTGGGAGCAGGGACGGCTGAGCGACACCGCGGGGACACCGCAGGGACACCGCGGGGACACGGACACCCACCTGTGCCAGCGCCATGTGCAGCTGCAGCTCGGCCAGGCGGCGCCCGACGCAGCTGCGCGGGCCGAGGCCGAAGGGCAGAGAGGCAAAGGGGTGCTTGGGGCCAGGGGTGTCCCCAGGGGTGTCCTCAGTGTCCCCAGCAGCGGTGTCCTCGCTGTCCCCAGCGGTGTCCCCGCTGTCCCTGTGGCGCAGCCAGCGCTCCGGGCGGAAGGCGTCGGGCGCCGGGAAGAAGCGGCTGTCGCGGGACGTGGCGTAATGGCACAGGGTGATGAGGGTCTGCAGGGACACGGGGTCAGCGGGGACACCCTGGGGACACCCTGGGGACACCAGGAGCCCTGGGGTGCAGGCTGTCCCCCCCGCTCACCTGCCGTGGCACCAGGTAGTCACCAACGCGGATGTCACACTCAGGGATGACGCGGGCGTTGGCCGGGATGACGGGGTACAGCCTGCAGGGGGGACAGCGGTGTCACCTCCTGTTCCTGTCCCCATCCCTGACCTCCTGTCCCCACCTTCATCCTCATCTTCATCCCCTCCTTGTCCCACCCTTATCCCCGTCCTGTCCTGGTTTTCATCTCCATCCTCATCCTCGTCCTTGTCCTCATCCTTGTCCCCATTTTGTCCCTAAACCCATCCTGTCCCATCCCTGTCCCCGTCCCCATCTTTATCCACATCCCTGTCCTGTTCCCATCCATGTCCCCATCCCCATGTCCCCGTGTCCCCATCCCTGTGTCCCTCAGGGTTCCTGTCCCCATCTCCCAATCCCTCTCTCCCTGTCCCCACCCCCATGTCCCTGTGTCCCCATTTGTGTCCCCATCCCTGTGTCCCCATGTCCCCACGTTCCCGTGTCCCCATTTCTGTGTCCCCTGTGTCCCTCTGTGCTCCTGTCCCCTCTCCCAACCCCTCTCCCCCTGTCCCCATCCCCATTGTCCCCCTGTCCCCGTCACCTCAGGGTCTCCTTCACCACAGCCCGCAGCAGTGGCAGCCGTCCCAGCGCGGCGGCGGTGGCAGCGGCGGTGGCACCGTCGGCGGTGGCACTGTCACCGCTGGTGACCCCGCCGGTGGCAGCCACCAGCTGGCGGTGCAGGGCCGCCTGTGCCCCCGGGTTCCGTGCCAGCTCGTACAGGCTCCAGGCCAGCGTGCTGGCCACCTGGGGACACACGGTGACATCAGCGGGGCCCGCGGTGGCGGCAGGGACACGCCGGTGTCACCCCCTCACCGTGTCCACCCCGGCCAGCAGCAGCTCGGTGACGTTCCCGTAGATGCTGGCGACAGGGACGCGCTCCCGGGCCAGCAGGTCGGTGACACACGTGTCCCCCTCGGCCAGCGGGCCCCGCGCTGCCACCTCGGCCACGCGCCGGTCCACGTGTCCCTTGGCTGGGGACAACGACAGCCATCAGTGCCACCGTGGCCGTGCATTGTCACCGAGTCCCCGTCAGTGTCACCATGGTCATGGCACATCCCGGTGACCCCACAGGGTGTCTCGATGTCCCTTGGATGTCCCCATGTCCCCTCTGTCCCCTCACCACGGCCCTGGGATGGCCCCGTGTCCCTGTGTCCCCTTGGCTGAAGGTGAGCAGGAGTGTCCCCATGTCCCCATGGCTGTGGGACATCCCCAAATCCCTGTGGGATGTCCCAGTGTCCCCATACAATGTCCTGGTGTCCCCATGGGATGGCCCCATGTCCCCTGGGATGGCCCCGTGTCCCTGTGTCCCCTTGGCTGAAGGTGAGCAGGAGTGTCCCCATGTCCCCATGGCTGTGGGACATCCCCAAATCCCTGTGGGATGTCCCAGTGTCCCCATACAATGTCCTGGTGTCCCTGTGGGATGTCCCCATGGTGTCCCCATGGGAGGTCACCACGGTGTCCCCATGTCCCCCCTGTCCCTGTGGGATGTCCCTATGGTGTCCCCATGGGAGGTCACCATGGTGTCCCCATGTCCCTGTGGGATGTCCCCATGGGATGTCACCACGGTGTCCCCGTGTCCCCGTGTCCCTCACCGAAGGCGAAGAGCTGGTCCCAGGCGTGGCAGAAGGCGTCCCAGGGCGCGGGGACGAGGCGCAGGAGGGGACGTGGCAGCGCCATTGTCACCAGCGTCAGCGCCAGCACCGCCCCCACGCTCCGGAGCACGGCCTCGGTGTCCCCGGTGTCCCCAACGTCCCCCAGGCAGCCCAGGCGGGAGGAGAACAGCACCCAGGAGATGGCTGTGGGACAGGGGACATGGGGACACCGGGACATGGGGACACTGGGGATAATGGGACATGGGGACATGGGACACTGGGGACACCGGGGACATTGGGGACATGGGGACACCGGGACATGGGGACATTGGGACACTGGACACCCAGAGACACAGGGGATGGGGACATGGGGACCATGGGCACATGGGGACACTGGGACATGGGGACATGAGGACAATGGAGATACGGGGACACTGGGGACAGGGGGACATTGGGACAGAGGGACATGGGGACACCGGGGACAGGGGGACATTGGGACATGAGGACACTGGGGACAGGGGGACATTGGGACAGAGGGACATGGGGACACCGGGGACAGGGGGACATTGGGACATGAGGACACTGGGGACAGGGGGACATTGGGACAGGGGGACATGGGGACACTGGGACATTGGGACAGAGGGACATGGGGACACTGGGGACAGGGGGACACTGGGGACAGAAGGTGCCCTGGACACCTGTGGGACACGGGGAGCCCTGGTGGGGGATTGGAGACCCCGGGGGTGGAAGGAGACCTGGGGTGCCCATGGGGTGCTATGGGGGGTCCCTGTGGGGGTCCCAGCCCTTTGGGGTGCCCCATCCACTTTCAGGGTTCCACATCCCTTTTAGGTTTTCCCCATTACTTTTGGGGTTCCCCATCCCCTTTTGGAGTTCCCCCTCCCCTTTTCGAGGTTCCCCAGCGGCGCCGCGAAGGCCTCGGCGGCCCCCGGGCGCAGCAGCCCCCGGGCCAGCACCCGCCGCGACCCCCGCCACGCCTCGCCCTCCCTGGGGACACGGGACAGCGTCACGAGGGGGACAGAGACAACGGGGACAGGGACAGGGACACGGGCACGGGGGGACAGAGAGGACATGGGGGACAGAGAGGACAGGGACAGCATCACAGGACAGGGACAAGGGGGACAGGGACAGCATCACAGGGACGGGGGGACAGAAGGGACATGGGGGACAGGGACAGCATCGGGGGACAGGGACAGCGTCAGGGGACAGGGACAGGGTCACAGGGACAGGACAGCGTCAGGGAAACGGGGACAACGGGGACGGGGGGACAACGGACATAGCACAGGATGGGGACATGGGGGACAAGAGGACATGGCTGGGGGACACGGCAGAGCACAACATATAAGGGACATGGGACATAGCACAGGACAGGGATATGGGGGACAAGGGACAGCGTCACAGGGACAGGGGGACAGGGGACATGGCACAGCAGGAGACACGGGGGGGACAGGGGACATGGCTAGGGCATGGGGACACAGGTGACACCAGGCATGGAGGGGACATGGGGGACAAGGGATATGGCACAGGAGGGGACATGGGGACACAGGAACATGTGGAAGAGGGGGACAGGGACACGGGGACATGGGGGACAGAGATGGGGACAGTGGTGAAGGACAGGGACGTGGCAGGGACAGAAAACATGCAGGGACGTGGGATACAGGTGACAGAGCATGTGGGGACAGGCAGGGACACGGAGAGGGACAAGGACACGGGGGGACATGGGGACAGGACTGGGTGGGGTCAGGGACACACAGGGTGAGGGACAGGGGACTTGAGTGGGGACACGGGGAACAGGGGGGAAGTGAGGGGCAGGGTATTGGGGACACAGGGGACACAGGGGATGCAGGTGGGACACAGGGGGACACAGAGGGACAGTCCCCTCGGGGCAGTGCCAGGTCTGATCGGGGCACTGGGGAGAGCCCCCGGCTGCCCGTGCTGGGGACAGCTGGGGACACTTTGGGGGTTTGGGGTCCCTCCCCCGGCCCACGCAGGGCCGGGCCCCCCCCGGGCAGTTACTCACATCCGGGGGGGGCAGACAGAAGGGACATGGGGGACAGGGACAGCATCGGGGGACAGGGACAGCGTCAGGGGACAGGGACAGGGTCACAGGGACAGGACAGCGTCAGGGAAACGGGGACAACGGGGACGGGGGGACAACGGACATAGCACAGGATGGGGACATGGGGGACAAGAGGACATGGCTGGGGGACACGGCAGAGCACAACATATAAGGGACATGGGACATAGCACAGGACAGGGATATGGGGGACAAGGGACAGCGTCACAGGGACAGGGGGACAGGGGACATGGCACAGCAGGAGACACGGGGGGGACAAGGGACATGGCTAGGGCATGGGGACACAGGTGACACCAGGCATGGAGGGGACATGGGGGACAAGGGATATGGCACAGGAGGGGACATGGGGACACAGGAACATGTGGAAGAGGGGGACAGGGACACGGGGACATGGGGGACAGAGATGGGGACAGTGGTGAAGGACAGGGACGTGGCAGGGACAGAAAACATGCAGGGACGTGGGATACAGGTGACAGAGCATGTGGGGACAGGCAGGGACACGGAGAGGGACAAGGACACGGGGGGACATGGGGACAGGACATGGGTGGGGTCAGGGACACACAGGGTGAGGGACAGGGGACTTGAGTGGGGACACGGGGAACAGGGGGGAAGTGAGGGGCAGGGTATTGGGGACACAGGGGACACAGGGGATGCAGGTGGGACACAGGGGGACACAGAGGGGACACAGGGGGACAGTCCCCTCGGGGCAGTGCCAGGCGTGATCGGGGCACTGGGGAGAGCCCCGGCTGCCCGTGCTGGGGACAGCTGGGGACACTTTGGGGGTTTGGGGTCCCTCCCCCGGCCCACGCAGGGCCGGGCCCCCCCCGGGCAGTTACTCACATCCGGGGGGGGCAGGGGGGGCTGAATCACGCCTGAGTCACCCCGGGCCCCCCCCGCACCCCACGGGCCCTTCCCGGAACGGGTGGGGGGGGAGCCCCGAGGGGTACGGACACCCCCAGCCCTGGGGAGCCCTGGGGGGCTCTGGGTGACCCCCCAAATCCCACAGGCAGCCCCCGACCCCCAACCCAGCCCAACCCAAAGCCCCCCCCGGGCAGCCCCGGAGCCCCCCCGGCACTCACAGGGTCAGGAGCCCCCCCGGGACCCCCCGCAGGTCCCGGTGCTGCTTCCAGGGGCAGCTGAGGGCGCGCCGGGGCTCGGGGCCCTCCTGCCGCAGCACCTGGGCCACGAGCGCGGGCTCGGCCACGTGAACCGTGAGCACCGGGCCGAAGCGGGCCCGCCACACCGGGCCGAACCGGGAGCGGCCGTGCACCTGCGGGGACACGGGGGGTCACACCGGGACCGGCCCGAACCGAGAACCGGGGGGGGACACGGGGGGGGGCACACCGGGACCGGGGGAGACATGGGAGGGTCACACCGGGCTGAACCGGGACCGGCCCGAACCGAGAACCGGACATGAACCGGGAGGCGGGGGGACACGGGGGGATCACACCGGCCCGAACCGGGACCGGGACCGGGCTGTCATGTACGGGGGACACGGCGGGGTCACACCGGCCCGAACAGCCCCGCGCTGTGCTGAGCTGGCACCGTCACCGGGCGGGGGTGAGGCGGGATCGGTGCCACCGGGGGTCACCGGGGGTCCCGCGGTGCCGCAGGGCAGGACCGGAGCCGGGCAGGTCCCGGTGTCCCTGCGCTCCCGGACCTGCCGTGACCTCCCCCGGGGTGACCGGGCCTCGGTGCCACTGCCCCGCTGGGGTGGCCCTGTCCCTGTCCCTGTGTGTCCCCCCCACCCCCCTCCACACCCTGGGGGGGCCACCCCCAGGGGCAGCTGAGGGCGCGCCGGGGCTCGGGGCCCTCCTGCCGCAGCACCTGGGCCACGAGCGCGGGCTCGGCCACGTGAACCGTGAGCACCGGGCGACGGGGGGACCGCCACGCCGGGCCGAACCGGGAGCGGCCGTGCGCCTGCGGGGACACGGGGGGTCACACCGGGACTGGGGGGGACACGGGGGGTCACACCGGGACCGGGGGAGACATGGGAGGGTCACACCGGGCTGAACCGGGACCGGCCCGAACCGAGAACCGGACATGAACCGGGAGGCGGGGGGACACGGGGGGATCACACCGGCCCGAACCGGGACCGGGACCGGGCTGTCATGTACGGGGGACACGGCGGGGTCACACCGGCCCGAACAGCCCCGCGCTGTGCTGAGCTGGCACCGGCACCGGGCGGGGGTGAGGCGGGATCGGTGCCACCGGGGGTCACCGGGGGTCCCGCGGTGCCGCAGGGCAGGACCGGAGCCGGGCAGGTCCCGGTGTCCCTGCGCTCCCGGACCTGCCGTGACCTCCCCCGGGGTGACCGGGCCTCGGTGCCACTGCCCCGCTGGGGTGGCCCTGTCCCTGTCCCTGTGTGTCCCCCCCACCCCCGGGGTGACCCCGGCCCCGCTGCCGCTGCTCCCCCGGTCCCGGCACCCCCCGAGCCCCGGGGGCAGCGATCCGTGTCCCGTGTCCCCCCCGATCCAGGGCACCGCGGTCCCTCCTGTCCCCTCGAGCCTCGGGGTGGTGGCACCAGGGGGGCCCCGGCGGGGCTCGGGGCCGAGCCTCGACTGCGGGGAGGCCCCGGGCCGGGCATTTATAGCGCCCACGTGCAGCCGGGCAGGCCCCGCCCCCTCTGCAGAAGCCACGCCCATGACCCCGCCCCATAATGACAAACTGGTGTCGAAACCCCGCCCCTTTGCCCTAAGCCACGCCCTCCAGCTGGGTGATTTGCATAATGGGACTCTTCGGCCAATCAGCGCGCGGCGGGGGCTGCTCCGCGGCCCCGCCCCCAGGGCGCGCACACGCGAGGGCAGAGCCGGGAGCGCGCACGGACGGACACGGGGACGGACAGAGGGACAGCGGGACGGACAGCGGGACACAGGGACACAGGGACAGACAGAGGGACAGAGAGCGGGACAGACAGAGGGACAGCGGGACGGACACAGGGACGGACAGCGGGACGGACAGCGGGACAGACAGAGGGACAGCGGGACAGACAGAGGGACAGCGGGACAGACAGCGGGACGGACAGAGGGACACAGGGACAGCGTCAGGGCCGGCACGGGGACAGCGGGCACCTCCCCAGTGAGCCCCACGCTGCCCCTGTGTGAGCGCCCGCTGTGCCCCAGTGCCACCCCAAACCCCCCAGTGCCACCCCAAAATCCCCAGTGCCACCCCAAATCCCCCAATGCCACCCCAAAATCCCCAATGCCACCCCAAAACCCCCCGCCCCCCCCAAACCCCCCGC